AGGTACCCTTGATGAGATAGATTGATTCAGTGACTGGGATAATGGGGGGTAGGTGTGTCAGAGACAATAACGTTGGCTCAGGATAGAGCAGGGTTCAGAGCTGTTGTACATAGGGTCACTGTGAGTTGCAAGCAACTCAACGACACATAACAACAAGTAATCTCTTCTACTTCAAATCTCCCCTTAAATAGTACCACTTAAGTTACTTGCTGTGCCTCTCAAAGCTAGACATGATTAAGGATGACAGAAGAAGAACTGATGCCTTTGAACTGTGGTGTTGAAGAAGTGCTGAATATGCAAAGGACTGCCAAAAGAACAAACAGTTATGTCTTGAAGAAGGTGCAACTAGAGTGTTCCTTGGAGGCAAAGATGATGAAGCTTCATCTCTCAAACTCGCATGTTGCTAAAAGAAGATATTCCTTGGCGAGGGACATCACACTTGGAAAGGTGGAGGGGCAGCAAAAGAGAAGAAAACCCTCAACTAGTGACTTCAGCAGAGGGCTTGAGTGTGTTGGAGATTATGAGGATGACACAGTGTTCAAATAGGTTTTCATAGGGTCATAATGCGTTGTGCTTGACTCAGCGTCACCTCAGAACAACAGCATCCCTACCTGCACCTTAGAATCATCTGAGACGTTTTTGTTGTTGTGTTGTTTTGAGGTATTATTATTATTATTGTGTGTGTGTGTGTGTGTGTGTGTGTGTGTGTGTACCATCAAATCGGATCTGACTGGTACAGGAGGAGATTGCCCCTCCTTCTCCAGCAGAGCATTTTGGATTTTGTGTTGTTTTTAAATACTGGGATCAAAGCCTGACCTGGACAGATTTATCAGAATCTTGGTAAGAAGGGTCAGGCATCTCTTTGGAGAAAGTGGAGTCTGCTGTGCTTTGTCCTCCTCTTATTCCTGATGCCTTCATGTCTTTAAACACATACTGTTAACACATTTGTCTCATTTCAGCTGGACTAATGTCACCTTCAAGTTTACTATACCCTGAGCATCTTTCACAAACATACTAAGAGTTTTCAAATGCTTGAAACATTTTGCCCTGCTTTAGTGCACTTTTATGGGTGCCATACTACTGCTTCAGATACAAAAGTTATATATGTGTGTGTGTGTGTGTGTGTGTGTGTGTGAGAGAGAGAGAGAGAGAGAGAGAGAGAGAGAGAGAGAGAGAGAGAGAGAGATATGCAGCCCTATACACATCTAAAATATAAAGTCATTGGCAACATGCAAATCATTCCCCAATAACAAAATTGAAGGGCACTATATCACTAATAGCAATGTGCAGACAACCAGGTATACAAATATCAAGACACAGGACACCTTTTTCTGACTATAGCTGAGGCCCATGGTGGCCCAGCAGGATGGATTCCTGGGTGGAAATATTGGCATAGTGAGTGACACAGCTAAATCTAGTGGCCTAAAAGCCCTGGTAGAACTCAGTGTGCCTGTCTCATCATGAGCAGGACTCAGTGTGCAGGACCTCCAGCTGCCTCTTCCACAGCCTGCTGACCCCTGGCTGGTGCCTCTAGAGTCCAGAGGGGCTAAATGTGCCCACATCATTGTGGACTACTCAATTGCCCTTCTACTGTCAGAAGATCAGGAGACAAACTACATTGGGCATGTCCTTTCTCAGGGACCTGTCCACAGTGCTCCCTCCTTGCAACATGCCCAAAGTATGTCAGAGTTTCAAAATCCTTGCCTCCAAGGAGCAGCCTGGTTTCACCCTCTCCAGAGTGGACCTGTTTGTTCTCTTAGCAGTCCATGGTATATTCAGTATTCTTGTCCAGCACCACAACTCACAGGCATCAATTCTCATTCTATCATCCCTAGTCATTGTCCAGCTTTTCTAATGCATAGCAATTAATTGCAAAGACCATGACCTAAATCAGGTGCACCTTAGTCTCCAGAATGACATTGTTGCCTTTCAGTACTTTGGAAAGGTCTCTGACAGCAGACTTTCCCAATGTAATTTGTCTTCTGATTTCTTGGCTGCTGGTACCAAGAGTGTTGATTGTTGTCTATCATGATGCTGCCAACCAACCCAGTGGTGAGAATCTTTTGTTTTCTTGATAATAAGCTTCAATCCATACTGCAGGCTGCAGTTCTTAACCTTCTGGATCAAGCACTTCAAGTTCTCCTCAGATTCAGCAAGGAGGGTTGTGTCATCTGCGTAATGCAGATTGTTGATGAGTCTTCCTCCAATCCTGATGCCACACTTCCCCCCAAATAGCCCAGCCTCCCGGATAATCTGTTCTGCATATAGATTGAAAAGGTATGGAAATAGGACACATTCCTGGGATACACCTTTCCCAATTTTCAACCAGGCAGTATTTTCTTGCTTTATTCTGACATCTGCCTCCTGGTCCAAGTATAGCTTTCGCAAAACACTCTCAAGAGTTCTGGTGTTCTCATTCTTCTCAGAGTTAGCCACAGTCAAATGCCTTTGTATAGTCAATGAAATACAAACATTCTTTTGATACTCTGCTTTCAGCTAAGATCCATCTAACATTGGCTATACTATCTCTAATACCATGGACTCTTCTAAAACCCAGCCTGCACATCTGGCAAATCTGTTAACCTGCTGTTCCAGTTGGTTGGTTGGTTGGTTGGTTTTATTTTTATTTTTTTTTTTTCTGATTTTCAACAGGATGTTGTTTGCATGTGATATTAATGATATTGTTAGATAATTTCCTCATTTTGTTGGGCCACCTATTTTTAGAATGGGAATAAATATGGGTCTCTTCCAGTTAGTTGGCCATGTGGTTGTCCTCCAGAATTTTTGGCATAATCTGTGAGCGCGTCCAGGGCAGCATCTGTGTGTTGAAATATGTCAATTGGTAAGCTGTCAATTCCTGGGACCTTGTTTTTTGCCAATTTTTTGAGAACGGCTTGAACTTCCTCCTGCATCACCATAATAGGCTCTTGCTAATATGTTATTTCATGATATTCTCCTTTTTGGTATAATGAGTTGGTGTACTCCTTCCATTTTCTTTTGATGTATAAATACACACACGTGCAAAACCTATACTTGGACCAGGAAGCAGGCATTAGAACAGAGCAAGGAAATGAAACACTGCATGGTTCAAAAATCAGGAAAGGAGTGTGTTGGGGATGTGTTCTCTCTCCATATCTTTTTAGTCTACATATGGAACAAATCATTTGAGAGACTGGACTGTATGAGGAGGAATATAGCATCAGGATTGGAAGAAGACTCATCAACAACCTGCATTCTACAGATGACTCAACGTCACTTGCTGCGACTGAGGAGGACCTGAAGTATTTACTGCAGAAGGTCAAGGACTGCAGCAGGCTTCATTATGGATTGAAGCTCAGCATCAAGAAGACAAAGATTCTCACTACTAGGCCAATTGGCAGCACCATGATAGATGGAGAAGAGATTGAGGTTGTTAATGATTTTAGCTTGCTCAGGCTCCAGCATCCAGAAAATCAAAAGACAAATTGCACTGGGAAAACTCTGCTGTCAGGAACCTCTCCAAAGTGCTAAAGAGCAACAAGGTCAGTCTAAAGACTAAGCTGCGCCTGATCCAGGACATGATCTTCTAAGTTACTTGCTCTGCATCAGAGAGCTGGAAAATGACTAAGGATGACAGAAGAAGAATCGATGCCTTTGAGTTGTGGAGTTAGGGAAGAGTACTGAAGATACCATGGACTGCCAAGAGAACAAACAGATCTGTACAGGACAGGGTGAAATGAGGTTGCTCCTTGGAGGCAAGGATTTTAAAGCTCCAGCTTACATACTTTGGATATGCTGCGCGGAGGGACCAGTCCTTCAAAAAGGGCATCATGCTTGGAAGGATGAAGAGCCAGTGCAAGAGAGGAAGACCCTGATAAACACAGTAACTGGGGTAATGGTGGTAGGTGTGTTGGAGACAGTGAGATTGGTTCAGGATTGGACAGGGTTTATAGCTATTATGCATAAGGTCAATGTGAATTGCAGGCAATAATATATGCCCGAAGGCACAATTGATTTTTTATGCCCTTTTTAAACAACATCTCTCTCTTTTTGGGAGAGTGGAGGGACCTAGGTCTTTGTTTACTTCTGCCTTTAGTATACTCTGTATGTAGCATTCATGTTTAAGCTGCAGAGGACCACTTGAGGTCAGAGAGAAAGCACCTAGTGATAGGGCCACCTGGGTGAGCTCTTGAGAACTGTGCTTGTCAGGCTTCAGGAGGCTGGTGCCAACCAGCACCAGCACCACTGCTGGCAGCACAGGGGCCTAGCAGAATCTCACAGCATCGAATGCCTTTCCTCTAAATCTTCTCGGCGCCACAATGGGCAAGTGGGAGCAGGCTTGTTTTCAAGCAAAGTCATGAAGCTGATGAAGTTTTCCTCAGATGCCTAGCCTCTTTTTCTTCTTACAATGGGCATAGACCTTCCCCAAAGGTCACTTTGTTTCCTAAAGGTCTCTGTAACCCATCCATACCTTTCCTCTTCCCTCTTCTACCTAAGAAAGGTAAACTCATGAATATTAAGTTGAATATTTCTAATCAAGTATACTATCTAGTACAGGAGTTACTCATTTTAAATAAAAAAAATCAAACTCTTAAACACTATTGTTTCAAATGAAAGAGTCTTAGTTGTGCTTGTAGGGATCCCTGATGGCTTAGTAAGGAGTTGTGCTGCCAGCCCAGAGGCACACAGCTCCTATCCACCAGCAGCTTAGAGAGATAAAGATGGGCCAAGTGTGATTTACAGCTTCCAAAAAACCTCATGGAGGGTCAGCTATAAGTTGGTCCTGACTCAAAGGTATGAAGTAGTTGTAGATGTGGATTAGGTACATTTGAGGGGTGGGGAAGTATATTCTGAAGTCCTTAACGTATAGTCTGTATACTCTGAAATCCAAAGAGGTGTGGGGAAGCACCTGGGGTGGTCACTTCCTCTGTTTAGAGGGGATTTTGCCCTTGAAGAACCTACCTTCAAGACGTCTCCTGGGAAATACCAACAGTGTCTCTTATGCCCCTTTCTCCTGCCAGATGTGGACGAGTGTGTAGAAGGGACTGACAACTGCCATATTGATGCTATCTGCCAGAACACCCCTCGGTCATATAAGTGCATCTGCAAGTCAGGCTACACAGGAGATGGGAAGCATTGCAAAGGTAAGACTAAGGGGTCACCTTCAGAAGGCACAAATCTGGGTAAGGGAGGCCAGTGCCACTTAGGCAGGAGGTAACATAGAAGAGAGGGCTGTATCTTCCCAGAGAAGGTGGCTACATTTTCTGATTTGTACAAGGGCATCTTATAGACTCCCTAGAGGGATTAGTTCATAGCCCACAGCCCAGCTGGAGAGCAGGGTAGACATCTGAACTGTGGGACTAGGCCTGAGGTTCCTTGACATTATGGCCTCCATCTTCAGACCTTCTAGCCCTCAAAGGATGGGAACAGACAACTGACCCCAGGGGAAGCTCATACTGTCAACAAACACTTCTCTTCCCTTTGTGATTAAAGCAATGCAAATTAAAGCAGCCTTGAGATGTTATTTTAAATTTATGACCTTCAGTGTTGGTAAGACTTCAGAGGAGAGGTATACTTATTAATTCCTAGCATGATAAATTGTAAAGTGATTCTGTTAATACCTAGTAGGAATATTAAAAGTTATTTATACCTTTTGAACGAGGAATTTCACTCTTAGGGATTTATTCAAAGGAAATGGAAAGAAACAAAATAATATGTGAATGATGTTCTTTGATGCATTATTTATGATAGTAAAATAAGTAGAAGAAATCTGTCTAACAATAGATTAAAAGAATTAATAAATTATGATACAGCAACACAATGGGATATTCTGCAACTATTTATAATGGTAAATAGAAAGGCTGAGTGGAAACATAAGAAACCATTTATGACAAGTTTATAGGAAAATGGAAAATGGTTTATAGGCTATGAAAGTAGCTACACACACACACACACACAGACAACAGGATATATTTTAAAACTCACAAGGCCAGTCCCAAAAGAGGACAGTTGGGAGCACAAAGGAGGGTTCAGCTGAGCTCCGTCGTATTTCATTTTTCCTACAGATGTGGATGAGTGTGAGCGAGAAGATAATGCAGGTTGTGTGCATGACTGCGTCAACATCCCTGGCAATTACCGGTGTACCTGCTATGATGGATTCCACTTGGCACATGATGGGCACAACTGTCTGGGTAAGCAAAGGAGAGTGGAGGGGGTGAACTTTCCCATTTCAAGGTGAAATGGGATGAAAAAGCATTCCCACAAAAAGGAGCGAGGTGAAGCCCCTTTGAGAATGGCAATCTTGCTACTGGATGGAAAACATCAAAGAAGCTGCTAGAAAGTGTTTCCAAGAGTTGAGAATACATGTGTACCTCAGGTGGGTGAAGCATACTTTGGCTCCAGATAAATCCTGACTCTTGCTTATAGCTTTGAGGTTTCAGGAAAATCAGCTTATCTCTGGGAGTCCCAGTTAACCCTAAGGTTAGAGGTTCAAGACTACCAGAAGTATAGCTTTGAAGAAAGCCCTAAGAGACTATTTCCAAAAACTCAGTAATTGAAAACCCTATAGAGTACAGTTCTGTTCTGGCACACATGACCATCCTGAGCTAGAATCCACACAACTGGTTTATTATGTGCTCTTTTAAGCTCTTAAAGGGATCACTATGAGAGAACATGGGGAAAGGCCCCTGTATAGCCCTTAGCAGCTAGCACATGTTCAGTAAATGACAGCAGTGTTGATGATGGCCTTCTCCGGGCTTCTGCCCCGAAGACTCTGATCCTTCCAGCCTGGTCCTCCCCCAGCTTTCCCTGCACTCTCCAGTCTTTCTCTCTCCTCACTTCTGAGGCCTCAGACTGGATCCCCTTCATCTAAAGAACTAGATCAGAAAAAGGAGAATCTCTAAGCAGATGAAATCAATTTTCATTTTTGTCAATTTGGAAAATGACAGGGACCAAGCTACACTCTTCTCTAATCAGCACAACTGAAACCTACACCAGAAAACAGTTCTTATTTGAACCCAGGAATTCTTTCCCCAACATTCTGTTGCCAAAACAAAAATATGAGACTAGAAGTATAGAAGACAGGAAGCCCACCCAGAAAGCAGACTGGACAGAATACACCCACTCATCTAACCAAAGAGATCCATTTTCTGAGGTCCCAAGGGCTCAAGAGAGCCATCGTACTAGAGAGCTGCCTTTAAACCCAGTCATACCCCATCACTCCACCAGCTATATAGGCTTCCACTCCCAACCCAGGCCTCCAAACCATGATCCCTCTGTAGGACCTTTCCCCAGCTCTGACCACCTCTCCTGTCACCCTCACTAGTGGGAATGGCCTTGTTCTTCACCTGCCTGGTCACTCTTGAGGCCCTCTTTTGGGATTCCTTTGGGAAGAAAAGCTGCAACATTTGGACCAGAGCAGTGAGTTGTCCACAAGACTGAGAACATGAGTTATATTTTACTGTCTTTTTACCTTTGAGGCATTGATTCTCACCAAATTTTGATCCCTAAATGTGTTTGGGGAGAGCCACAACAGAAGGGTAAGAGAATACGTAGTTGGAGAAAAGGTCAAGGGGAGGAAATGTCAGAGCCTTGAGGTTGAGCCCTGTGCAGTTCAGGTTCAAAGTCTCAACCTGAACCTTGGCTTCTGGAGGAACACTGAGAATGCTGACATGCCCTGCCTCAGTTTCCTCACTGAGAAGTGGAGGAAAGGGCTTGGCTGGAGTAATGAAGCCACAGGATTGGAACAGAAGAGACCAAGCCAAAGGATGGAATTTAGGTTAGGGCAAGCACAAAGAGATGTGCGTGGAAGAAGCCAGAGGTGTAGCAAGAGATAGGACAGAGGTAGGAATGTTTTCCAACAGGTACACCATGCAAACGAAGACCTCTAGCTCTTCCATTTGGAGGCCAATATCCCCCAGTGCTTCTGGGGACAGCAGCAAGCAGAGAGATAAGAGTCAAGGCAATGCAGCAAGAGCCCCAGGATGGCCGGAGGTCTGGGGTGTGGGGGTGAGAGCTTACTGCTCCCCATCCCCCATCTAGGGTGTGGTCTGGCAGCTCTCCCCCTATCCCTCTCCAACAAGCTGCCAGACTTTGTTTTGTTAAACCAAAATAGGAGAAAGACTAGGAAATATGGCAGTAAGCCCAGGCATAAGAGGAGAGGAGAGAGGACCAGGCCAGTGGCCTGTCCATAGATGTGGTCCCTGCTGCTCAAGGAGTCAAGGCTCTGGCTTCCCTTCCCTACCTCAGCACCATGGCCATCATGGCCATGGCTCTCAGCACACAGAGCCATTTCCCAGCCCCCTGAGTTGCTCATGGCAACCAGCCTTGTTACCTTTCCCTGATGATGCCTCCATTCTCTTCACTGCTGTGTCCCTGGTCTTCTTCTAGACCCAGTTTCAGCAGGTGAGGGGAAAGGAGGCAAGTTATCACTTAGACAAGCCAGGCTCACATGTCCTCTCCCCACTTCCTAGCTCCCCTCTCTGCCCTGTCTGGGGCCCTCTCTAGGCTCAGTAGAACTTGAGCTGATGAGGGTGTGAGAACTGTTTGGGTTGACTTGACTGGCCTAGTGGTGGGCTGTGAAGAGGTTTGGATTCTGACTTCTCTCAGCCCTTGATGCTGACATCCCCGGCCACCCTGGCACTTGGTGCCCATCCCCTAACCACCTCTCCCACAGATGTGGACGAATGTGCGGAAGGCAACGGTGGCTGCCAGCAGAGCTGTGTCAACATGATGGGCAGCTACGAGTGCCACTGCCGGGAAGGCTTCTTCCTCAGTGACAACCAGCACACCTGCATCCAGCGGCCAGAAGGTCAGACCCTGCCCTGCCCATGTCTCTCTGCCAGTTTTCCTGGAATCTTTTCCTCCTTGCCATCAGGCTCACCTTCTGTTGGGTCACTTGTCCTTCAACCCAGTAAGACTGAGGGCTCCCTGAACACTTTGTATTAGGATAAAATTAGGGGAAGTTCATTTGGGATTGAGGTTAGTATAGAGTATCCTCTGTCCAGGCCTGGGGCATCTTACAGCCCTAAGTGGATGACTTAAGTTTAAGATCCTGCTTATCTGAGAGGGTTCCATCATGTCCTTATCTCTGGAGTTGGGTTAGGGGATCAGGTAGGAATGTGGGGTACATGCTGTCTGTTTCTCCTGTCCCACTAGGCGGTGTCTCCCCTGAGGCAGCGGTTATATCTAATCATCTCTGTCATCAGCATCTAACCTAGTCTAGTGCCTTCAGGTGGTGGCAATGAAATAAATGTCCAAGAAAAGCCCACACTACTTTCTGTTTGTACTGGTCACTCCCCTCTGGCTGATTTGATTACTTTATCATCTTCTGTATTTGACTGTGAGCTCTCTGAGGGAAGAGACCATGTCTTATATTTTTATAAGTCCTTCCTAATTTCACCCTAATTTCATACAGCACTGTGCTGGACAACTAGTTAGATATGTAGGTATTTTGTTGTTGTTGTTGTTGTTGTTATTTGAAGGATAGGGTGATCATGTTTCTCTGGGAATGGATATCAATACCTAGTAATTCATCATTTAGAATGTCTGCTGTGTGAGCAAACAGGAAGCCTGTGAGGGGAGTCAGGCTCCTCCCCACATGGCATCCCCACTGGGTTTCTCTCACCATTTCCTGGGTCCCCAGCTGCCCTTCTGAGTCCCTCTTCCTCAAGGTATCCCCACCTAGGCACTGAACTTTCACGCCTTTCCTCTTCCCTTTTAGAAGGAATGAACTGCATGAACAAGAACCATGGCTGTGCCCACATTTGCCGGGAGACACCCAAGGGGGGGATTGCCTGTGAATGCCGCCCCGGCTTTGAGCTCACCAAGAATCAACGGGACTGTAAATGTGAGATGACAAGGATGGAGGTGGGGAAGGAGGGCTAGACAGAGGAGGAAGGTGGGGCCTCTGCAGCAGGAGGAAAGGGTGGGGGGGGACTGGTGACTAGCACAGAGGGTTTGCAGTCCTGGAGAGCAGTGGTACCTGAGAAGAAGAGGCCAACAGGCTCCTACCCTTTGTGCATAGTGACGTGCAACTATGGTAATGGTGGCTGTCAACACACCTGCGATGACACGGAGCAGGGTCCCCGGTGCGGTTGCCACGTCAAGTTTGTGCTTCATACGGACGGGAAGACATGCATCGGTGGGTGAGGCCAGGCAGGTCTACCTGCGCTGGGGGTTGTGGGAAGGGTCCTTGGGCACCAGAGTTGGGACACATGGGGCCCAGGTGCTGGGCATGGAGTGATGGTGAAGGGGCTGAAGACACAGACAGTGCCAGTTTAGTGCGGACAACTCTGTGAGGGAATGCAGGACGCAGCTGGCTCCCTCCTATTGCCCAAACCATTGGCTTCACTCTCCTCTCATCCCAGGAGCTGTTGCCAAGCCAAGAATAATTAGCAGAGGTGCCGATATAGCCCAAGGCTATGGTTGAGAAAGGGGAGGAGAGTTGGGGAGGTGGGGCTGATTCTGCCAGACGTGAGGGCTAGTGTACTAGTGTGGTCAGGCAGGAAGCTGCCACAGCCTTCTGCCACCACTGGGGGTGAAGTGAGTGCTTTTCTTCAGGGACCACTAGTCCTGACTGGACAGATGGGCTTTCCTTGTTCCAGATACCTTTTCCTCTTTATCCTTTTCTCTCTTCATCCCCTCTGAGTCCTCTCTCTGCTCTCCCACCCTCTCCCTCCATTGCTTTTTCTTCACTCCAGACTGCAGTGGCATGCCCTCTGCGCCACCTGTGGCCTCGCTTTCTCACATACCCCAACCTTCCATCATCCTTACCCTGGTCTGGGACCCTTTTCAAATGTGGGCCTCTTTTCCTGCATTTCTAGACCTTTTCTCCCTTATCTTCAGCTACTACAGATTAATTATTCAAGTTGCATTTCTTTTGTGGGATCCTGGAGTGCTGAGAAAGATGGTATCCCTTTTGGAGGCATGGGAAGTAAAATGGGAGAGTCTGAAGGTGTGCTTGGTCTCTGGGTTCAGGTGTATGGGCCCAGCTGTTTATCGGGGAACCTACACACTGCCTGAGATGGAGAGGTGTGGAAACAGTAGTACTGTGTGAAATAATAATATGTCAGGGACACAGCCCCTGTGCTTTTCCCCATAGTCACAAGTACAGAGGAACAGGCTATGCCCGGGGGGCCTGCTCCAGGAATTTGCACAACCTGTTCAAAAGTCCTCCTTCGTTTTAAACTCTTTCCTGCTACATGTTTCCTTCTGAGATAATTCTTCAGAGACCCTAGAACATTTTTAGGTTTCCATATGTCTTTTCCCAGCTAGTTTATTTTCAGCTTCTTAAACTTTTTTTCCTCATAAGCCTAGTATTCCTGCTTTCTAGATACTTCTAACCACCCCTGGACACACTCACACACATCTCTATCCAAAAGAAACTGCATGCAGTTCACAAAGAAAGCTTGCATGGGTGGAACAAAACAGAGTGGGGCCTGTGGATATGACGCCTAGTCCTTCCCTGGCTTCATTCTGCTCCAGTAGCCCAGGTCATGGCTGCTTCTGAAGACACCCCTAATTAAGCTTGAACTTCCCTTTCCATTCTACCACCTGGGTCACACTCGAGGCAAAGAACAAATGAGGCTCTTCTAAGAGCCACAGCTGTTTTCTTTCCTAGGTCCTCTCACTCTTCTATAATAGAACTTATTTGACATTCTTGATCTTTTTGTTTGGTCAGGCCTAGCAGGAAAGGCCATCAGGGCATTCATGTGTGGGACTCTGAAGCATGAGGTTGTATTCCAGTTTTGCCATTGCCATGCTGTGATACTAGGCCCACGGTTCCCCCCTCTCTGAGACTCAGTTTACCCTGTATCATTGGTGGAAGTCAGGTTCTCTAAGGCGTTAGGCAGGATAAGACTTGGGTTTGAGGCTGCTGTAGGGGTCCCAGGGCTCACTGGGGCCAGAGGTTTGGGCCTAGAGGGTGGAGAAGGGGGTGGGGAGGGGGCTGGGGCCCCTTGGGCCACAGTGGCTCCTGCCCAGCATCTAAACAGCTTTTTTACAATGTCAAACAGGGGAAAGGCGGCTAGAGCAGCACGTCCCCCCTCAGGCCGTTTCTAATGGTAAATATGTCTGCTCTCACCGCTTGCTCTCACTGGCTTGCTAGGGGAAGGGCTAACCTGCTGGGGCTCCCACTAACTGCATGCCCATTGGCCCCACCTGACTGGGCCCCAGCTGGCCAGCAGGGCTCCCAAGGCAGCCCAGACATTGGGCCCATTGAGTGACAGGAAGCCTGAGTCTTCAAGTGCTGGCCCATAGCCATCATGTTGGTTTTGTCTTTCCTCTGTCACTGTCTCTCCTTCCTTTTTTCCTCCCTTTTCCCACCTTCTAACACCCCACCTCCTCCCCAGCCACTTGCCCCTCTCTGCCTGTCTGCACAGTCAGAGGCCCAGCCAGCTTCTTCATGCCCCTACTACCTAGGAGGGGGTGGGATGGGGTTAGATACCATCCCCTCCTGGGATCTTGTTCTTGGGTTCCTGTCTACCTTAGTTCACATTCCTTGCATTACTCACCATAATGGCTAAGAGCATGACCTTTGGGCTCAGCCAGACCTGAGTTTGAATTCTGACTCTGCCACCTTCTAACTATGACTTCAGGCAAGCTGCTTTTCTCTCTGGTCCTCAGTTTATGCTTCTGTAAAATAAGGAGAATAACAATCCTCACTTAGAAGATTGCTCTGACGATTGAGATAATGCATGTAGAGCATCTTATAACACCTGGCACCAAGGAAGCACAGAGTAACTGGTGGTTGTTACCATGGCAGCCTGGAGAGCAAAGAGTGGTGGGCTTGCCAGCCTCACCCTGGAGAAGGCTGCCCTGAGGGCTGGCCAGCTCTGTCCAACTTTGTGGTCCAACTATGGGAAAGACAGCATGCCACCACTGCTGGTCTCTATCCTGCCCCCTCAGAAGCTCCCCAGAGTTAGGACAGGATCTTGATCGCCCTTGCCTTTGCCAAGGATTTGGAGGGCTCTTCTTACACTAAGAGCACACATAGGGGTGAGGGCTCAGTTGGTTCTTTGCCAGGTTCTTCCCATGTAGAAATGACAGAGGAGATAGCACTGTGGCTCCTCCCAAACTTGGGCGTTTAAGAGACAGAGCATGATCCTGGCTCACAGGCAGAGTTGGGGTTCTTGAGGAGCCCTGGCCCTGATGCTGTGTCTTCAATGACAAGGGTTAAGCCTGAGTTTAGGAGCCAGAGATTTCAGAAGACACCAGTACTCCCCAGTGCTTTTCTCTTCCAGCTCCTCTGATTCTGAGAACTGTTTTCCTGCCTTTCCCTACTGAGCCCTCTGGATTTTGTCTTCTCTTTGAAAGGAGAACTCAGGCTTCCCTAGAGAGCAGTCAGCACTCCCCACAGTCCTCCTCTCTGGGCTGTGCACTGTTGTGAGCTGAGGTTTTCCCTTGAACTCATCTCTCTCTTTGGCTGTACTTTGAATTTGTTGGGGTTTTTTTTCCTGCTTTGAATTCAGAAATCAGGGAGAGTGACTACCCACACACCCTCACCCTGACCTCTCAGTCAAGAGGGGAGCAGCAGACGGGGACTTAACTGAAACAAGGATTTTCATTTTATCTAGCTTTAAGGCTCTGTAATTCTTCCACCTACATTCTTAAGACCATCCTCCTCTTCTGGACTCTGCTCCCTTTTGCCCCAGACAATACCTTGCTGGTAAGAAAGTAAGACAACAACAAAACAGCCAGCTTATCTCTATCTGAAAAAAAGGGGGTGTGGGGGTGAAGTTTGAGAGATGTTGAAGGTAGACATGAAGGGGCCAGAAAACGACTGAGTGTGCCCATTGCCCCTGTTGAACAGCCAGACTTTCAACTGGGATCATCTTTAAAACAGCTAGGCTGGAAAATGGGAGAGTTGGGCTGGTGGCCATTCTTGAGCTGTCAGGCATCGCCAGCCTCACTCTTCCCAACCCACCTATAGTGAGATGGTCTGTGATCACCCACCATGATCCCCCACCCCCCCTGAAGAGGTAGTAGATGGAGAGACAAGTAAACTCCTCTTGGCCCCTTCTTGTGCCCTGGCAGCCAGAAGCACCCTTGCTTAGCTCCATCCCTCCCTGCTCTCTTCCCCTCCACCTCCTCCGCCCTCAGCGCATTCCTGCCTGACAGCTCTGGCTTGTACCTGCCTCACTGCTGTCCACCTTGTTTCAATCAAGTAGGGGGCAGGGAAGCGAACTGCTTGGCTGCACTTGTGAGGGGATGGGGGTTGGGAACCTCCACTTAATGCTCCTAGGCACAGGGAGGAAGCTGAGGCCTGCTTTTAGGCCTCTGTGGTCTCCACTGTCCTCCAGGTTCAAACCTCTCCAAGCCAATAACCCTCTTACCTACCCCTGCCCCCTTTAAACAGAAACCTGTGCTGTCAACAATGGGGGCTGCGACAGTAAGTGCCACGATGCGGCTACTGGTGTCCACTGCAGCTGCCCTGTGGGCTTCATGCTGCAGCCAGACAGGAAGACCTGCAAAGGTAAGGGCTTTGCCAGGACAGGAGTGCACAGACTAGTCCTGGTCTGTGCAACAGGATGAGCACCCACTTGGAGATAGAGTGCCTATTATAGACCATCCCTCTTTACCCACTGGAGGCTATCTTAACTACAAAGAGTAGAGGAGGGGCTATCTTCTCCACATTTCCCATATCCTTTCAAGGAGCACAGAAGACCAGCCAATTCATTGGTGACCCCTGTCTTACCCACTTTTCCTTGCCCTCATTCTTATCCTCTAAGGTATACCTAACTCTCTTGGTTAATGAATCTGCCATTCACATTTGTCGCTGGGTCTGGAAGGATATTTGAGCCCTGGTTTTGTGTGTGCATGAGGTCACAGGTACACTCCATAACCTTCTTAACCCACATTCCTCAGTCCTTCCCAGTAGAGAATATGATCTCTCTCCTTAGAAAGGCTGTAATGTCCAGAGGGAGACCAGGGATAGAGTTAGTAACATTGCCACTGGAGTCTGGCTACCTGCATTCACATCCAGCTCTACTTAGTAGTTCTGTGACCTTTGACAGGTTTGTTAGATGCTCTGTGCCTCAGTTTCCTCGAGGTAACAGTGCCTAACTCTTAGGTTTGTTGTGGGGAATTAAGTGAGTTTTCATATGTAAAGTGCTTTCAGTTTGTTGCTAGTGTCTTAGTAAACACTTTGTATTGTTATTTTGATATACACATTGTCCATTCCTCCTCTAAATTAGCCAGATCTGATGGATAAAGGAGAGGAAAAAGAAAGGGTAGCCATATAGAAAATAATGACTTCTCAGGTCTGTGTCTCCTGGTCACAGGAGTGGGTACTGAGGGAGGACCGGGCTCCTTCTTTGTGTCTTTTGGCTCACCCGCTTGGAGCAGGGGGAGGGCTGGGGCAGCAGGTCAGCCAGCCAGCAGAGAGGTTTCCTGCTGGGAAGGACTGTTGACAGGTATGCTAAGAGTGAAGTAGAAGGCTGCCCTCCCTGCCCCCTTCCCCAAGTAGGGGTGAGTAGCCTGGGTCCTGTCTGCCACCAGCTTGGGGAACTTGACCTCAGGAAGGAAGCAGCTCACCCGGCCCCCCTTTCCTTGCTAGTGCTGAAAGCTGCCTGAGGCCTGAGTCTCTCCAGACCTCTCCCAGTCCAGCCCCCTGCCGGCCCCTATCCTCCCCCATTAAGTACCCAGCCTCACTGGCTCTCCTGGAGGTCCTCCCTGCCTGGCTTCTCTCCCAGCTCCTCCTCTCTGAAGGGCTGCCCCTTTCAAGTGAATCCCCTCTGATTCCCACTTCTGCTTGGCCCCCCTCATGGCTTCTCTGACAGGGCTGGGGAGGAGGCAAAGAAAAGATGAATCTTACCCACCAGTCTTTTTTGAGTAACTGCCACCTGAATAGTCATCAACAGAATAGCCCTGCATGTCCAAGGCTCACCTGCTCCCTCATCCAGCAATTCCCTGATGGATTGACTTTGGTCCCCCTCTGCCCCCTTCTAAGAGGATGCAGCGCCAGAAAATTACTAATGGCCACTGATCTCTTGAACAGACAGGATGGCGATAAGAGTAGAGAAGCAAGCCCAGGGCTCCCCTGGTCTGCTGTGTCTCTGTGAGTGTAGGAGAAATCTCGTCTCCTGTTTTGTTCCCAAATTTAGTGCCTTTTATTCTCTCTTTACTTGTGTCTTGGCTTCCCCCAGACATAGATGAGTGCCGCCTGAACAACGGAGGCTGTGACCACATTTGCCGCAACACAGTGGGCAGCTTCGAATGCAGCTGCAAGAAAGGCTATAAGCTTCTCATCAATGAGAGAAACTGTCAGGGTGAGCAGACTTAGACCCAAGGAGATAGCCTGGGGAGAGGCACTTGGCTTGGGAAAGCCAGAGGACTGGAGTCTAAGAGACTCCATGAACACTGTAGAGAGGTCCCATAGAGAGTGTTTAGGTAATGCCTTGCTAAAGATTAGGTCGCCAGCTCCTGCCAAGAAGGAAAAGATGGATTCAATGGAGAGTAGCCCACATCACTGCAGACAGTGGCTCTGGTCCAGTGGCATGACCTCTCTCAGCTCCTGATTCTAACGTTTCCAGGTGGAGGAGCACGCAGGGGTGGGAAGGCATCTGCCAGCTGTTCTGCAGGAGAAGAATGGGTAGTTTCCTCTGCCATTAACTGCCTATGAAAACCCGCCAGTGGGTCAGCTATGAGTCAGCTATGGGTCGGTTCTGACTTGATGGTACATAACAACAAGGCTGGGTTATAGGAACCAACTGCCTTTGAGTTGGTTCTGTCTGACAGCAACCCTTCATCAGGTTTCTGAGGCTGTCAGACACAATGGGAAGAGACTGCCCACCTTTCTCCCCTAGACCTGCTGGTGGATTTGAACTGTGAGAGATGAGTGACTTTAGGATTAGCAGTACAGCTCACTATGAACTGTGGTAAAGCAGAGCTCCATGGGCCATGAGTAGGGACTCTACATTCAAAGTAGAAAGCTTAGGTTTTTCACTTGGACTCTCACAGGTGAAGGTCAGATGCCTAAAGATGGTTTCAGCTTTAATTCATGTTTCCTTTTCCAGACATAGATGAGTGTTCCTTTGATAGAACCTGTGACCACATATGTGTCAACACGCCAGGAAGCTTCCAGTGCCTCTGCCGTCGTGGCTACCTTCTCTATGGACTCACACACTGTGGGGGTAAGCCAGCTAGCTAACACCCTCCCACCCCTCCTCCTGCCCCCTGGCCCCATCATGGTGAAATGGAAGGATGTTAGGCTGCTCCCTTACTCCCATTTTCTGCTCTCAGGAGAAGTGGAAGGCTTTTAAAAGCAGGTCAGTTACTCTTTTGACAGAAGCAGAAAGAGTCTTAGATTTGAGCTCTTCTCTGGGGTCAGTTTTTATCTCAGGATGCCCAGAATTCTAGCCAAGGGTCCCAACTCATTCCCATTCTCTAGCTCCTACCCCTACCCTACCATTGCCTGTCTGTGTCTGCCAGATGTGGACGAATGCAGCATCAACCGAGGAGGCTGCCGCTTTGGCTGCATCAACACACCAGGAAGCTACCAGTGTACCTGCCCAGCAGGCCAGGGCCGGCTGCACTGGAACGGCAAGGACTGCACAGGTGGGCAGCACCCTCTACTGGTCACATCTGGCACTGCAGTTTCAGAGGGACGTTGGGGTTATGGAAAGCTTGGACCAGTAATCTGGAGGTTTGAAGTGGACATGGGGTGGAGGTGATAGCTAGTTGAGTTAGAGACATGAATTCTGGTAGTCCCTTTGTCACTCTGTACAGGTAGAATAACTCCTTGGGAAGCATATTACCCAACTGAATTACCAAACTCCTCATTGCCAAGTCTGTTGACTCAGCAATGCTATAGAACAGAGCAGAACTAGAAATCCCACAGAGTGTCCATGACTAAGTCTTTATGGAAACAGACTGCCACATCTGTCTCTTGTGGAGCAGCTGGTGGGTTCAAGTAACAGACAGTCCAGTTAGCAGCTGAATGCTTAACCACTTTGCCACCAGGGCTCCTTTTTCCCCTTCCTAGAACCTGTTAAGTGTCAGGGAAATCCTGGGGCCTCAAAAGCCATGCTCAGCTGCAACCGCTCTGGCAAGAAGGACTCTTGTGCCCTGAGCTGCCCCTCCCGGGCGCGTTTCTCACCAGGTATGTGAAGAAGGGTATTGAGGCTGGGGGGGTTGGGGTGGGGAAGAGGGCTGGCTGTTCAGAGAGTTCCTCTGCTCCCCTTGGATTATCCAACCAGTGAGGGTCCCAGAGTGGTCAGAGTGTGACGACAAGTCCCTTCTCTCAGAGTCTGAGAATGGCTTCACTGTGAGCTGTGGCACTCCCAGCCCCAAGACTGCCCCAGCCCGAGCCAGCCACACTGGAAACAGCACAAACAGCAACCACTGCCATGGTGAGCACTGGCCCACGGGCCTTCTGACCCTGCACCTTTATAGTCACCCTTTATTTCACTTTTTTTTTAAATAGCATTTCTCTTTCTTCCCCCCCCCCTTTTTTTTAATTGAGATTTTAATGAAAGTTTATAGAGAAGTTGGATTTCCACTCATTCATTGGTGGGCAGGGAGGAAAAGATTTCTTTCTTAATCCCTCTGGCCTTTTTTCCTGGTTGCCCCCTCCCCTTTGCTCTGTAATTCTCTGGCCCTGCTTCTTCTTTCCCTCTGTCCCTAATGTCTATTTCCCTAATTCTACTCTGGAGCCAAGTCCCTGGCTTCCTGCCTGATTTCTCAACACCCTCTATAGCAATCCCTGCTCCTCATGGGAGCACCATGTGCTGAGCTTCTCCCTTCCCTCTAGAGGCTGCAGTGCTGTTGGTTAAACAACGGGCCTCCTTCAAGATCAAGGATGCCAAGTGCCGTCTGCACCTGCGAAACAAAGGCAAAGCGGAGGAGGCTGGCAGGATGCCAGGGCCAGGTCTGGACTGGGACCCCACCCTACCCGAGTTTGTCTTCTTATGGAGATCTCTCTTTTATCCTACAACCTACCAGTACCCTGAACTCTGGACACAGTGAGGATGGAGAGATAAAAACTCAAGAAAGGTCTAGGATGTACACACACACACACACACCTAATAGACCTAAAACAATGAGAGGATTACAGGGTAGACACAGTCCTAGATCTAGTGAGATATGAGTTAGGCAGAGAGGTGAGAGCTGGGTAGGAGACTTTTCCTTGGCCCAAGGGGGTGCCCTTGAGTTAACAAGACTTCTCTCCTAGGTGGTGCCCCCTGCTCTGACTGCCAGGTCACCTTCATCCACCTCAAGTGTGACTCCTCTCGGAAGGGCAAGGGCCGACGGGCGCGAACCCCTCCAGGCAAGGAGGTTACCCGGCTGACCCTAGAACTTGAGGCAGAAGTCAAAGCTGAAGAAACCACAGGTGGGACTGAGGGTATTGCTCGGAGAGGTAGGAGGACAGGAGCAGGGTGGGGAAATACAGGCCGCTGGCATTAATAGGGAGAGGTGGAACCTGTATTAGGGACAGAGCCTACCTGAGTCAAACCTAAGCTAGTCTCTCTCCTGCCAGCCCCTTCCTGACTGTTGGCTTTAGTCCCTTAGCTCTTATGCTCACAACCATCCTTTCATTCTCTTCCTGATTCACGCCGCTCATCACCAGCTGGCTGTGGGCTGCCCTGCCTCCGACAGCGAATGGAAAGGCGACTGAAAGGATCCCTCAAGATGCTCAGAAAGTCCATCAATCAGGACCGCTTTCTGCTGCGTCTGGCAGGCCTTGATTATGAGCTGGCCCACAAGCCAGGCCCAGGAACTGGGGAGCGAGTAGAGCTGGTGGAGGCCTGCAGGCCTGGGCAGCACCGCACTGGGACTAAATGTGGTAAGGAACTTTGCTGGGGTGTTGTGGGGGGAGGGAGCTGGGAAGGCCCCATTTAGGTTCAGCTCAGGGCAGGACCCTTTATGGACTCAGTTGCATCTCAAATTGTGTGGCAGCCTGGACCTTCCTGCTCAACATCTTTCCTCCCTGGGTCCCAGGCTAAACTCTAGACCATTTAGGCTGCACATGGTTTTGGTCCCCATACTCCCCAAGCAAGGTTTCTTTTGTTCCTTGAGAAGAAGATTCTTCCTGAATCTGGGCAAGTGGGAAGGGAAGACATAGGTCTGGGTTGTGGGAAACGGGGGGGAGTGGGGGGTGGCTAGCACGGCCGACTCTCCCTCAGTCAGCTGCCCGCAGGGAACGTATTACCACGGCCAGACGGAGCAGTGTGTGCCATGCCCAGCGGGCACCTTCCAGGAGAGAGAAGGGCAACTCTCCTGCGACCTTTGCCCTGGGAGTGATGCCCAGGGTCCTCTCGGAGCCACCAACATCACCACATGTGCAGGTGCCAGGGGAACAGTCACCACAGACTGGGGTAGGGTGGGCACTGGGACGCCCACGGGCATGGGATTTCCCAAAGGGCAGGCCCAGGCCACTCTCCTAGTCGGCGTCCTGTTTGTGTGCCTCTGCTCCCTGAGACTGGGTGAGCCCATGGGGTAATGCAGGACCATCCCCATCAGAATTGGGCTCTTGGTTCATTGCAGGTCAATGTCCACCTGGACAACACTCTGTAGATGGGTTTAAGCCCTGCCAGCCTTGTCCACGCGGTAGCTACCAGCCTGAAGCAGGACGGACACTATGCTTTCCGTGTGGTGGGGGCCTCACCACCAAACATGAAGGAGCCATCACGTTCCAGGACTGTGACACAAAAGGTGAGAAGCTCCTTACCAGCCCTCACAGGCTCCCCAGCCTCTGCTGATAAAAAATACTCCCCAAGTTCCTGGAACAAACATATGTTTCCACACTGGAAAAAACCAAGATGCCTGCCCAAGCACAGTTCTACTTACAGGACCCTCCTGGCTCACCACCATTCCCCAGCATAGGAATGAAGGAATTGTCCACAATCTCACTCTCCCCTCTGAGGGGATAACTGTAGTCCATTCCTGTAACACCCAAAGTGAATTTCTGTTTAGGTTCAGTATTGTACTCAGTGCTAGAAGAACAAGAATTAGCACTAGAACTAACCGCTCTGTGAAGTTTCTTTTTCTCTGGACTTGAAAAAGTCTAGTCTGACTGGGACCCTGAAAAGAACCTTCATGTCCTTGATTTCCTGATTCCATAAGCATATCCAGCCCATCTAATGCCCTAGAACTCCCACTTGAGCAGCATCCTTGACACCTGCTTTTCCCTTCCCTGCAGTCCAGTGCTCCCCTGGGCACTACTACAACACCAGCATTCACCGCTGCATCCGCTGTGCTCTGGGCTCCTACCAACCTGATTTCCGCCAGAACTTCTGCACACGCTGTCCTGGCAACACCAGCACTGACTTTGACGGTTCCACCAGTGTGGCCCAGTGCAAGAGTACGTGACAGGCCAGGCTGTGAGGGGGCAGAGAGGCCTTGGAGCAGGGCATGGGGTAGCAAAGGGGTCTAGAGCAAACCACTAGGGAGCAGGGTAGGGGAGTGGTGAGCCGGAAAACCCCACCTTCCTTTCCCCTACCTGGACCCTGGAGCACTGCCTCTGTGGAGCTAGGTAACAGGATAGGCAGACAGGTGCAGTGAGAAAGGCAAGAAGGTGAACCCAGAGTTTAGAAAGTTAGATGGTCTAACTTCCATTCCAGAACTCTTCGGTTTCACCACTGATTTCTATACTGACTTCTTTTCTCTTTCTTGCTCTATCCACTGGGGCCTGGCTGCAGATCGTCAGTGTGGCGGGGAGTTGGGTGAATTCACTGGTTATATTGAATCTCCCAATTACCCGGGAAACTACCCAGCCAGCGTGGAGTGCATCTGGAACATCAACCCCCCACCCAAGCGCAAGATCCTTATCGTGGTACCTGAGATCTTCCTGCCATCTGAGGACGAGTGTGGGGACGTCCTCGTCATGAGAAAGAACTGTGGGTGGCTGCAGAGCTGGGCCAGGGAAAGGGAGTCGGAATCTGGTTGGGAGGGAGAGAAAGAGATGGGCACAAGAAGAATTGGAGCAGTGGAATTAGGGGTCCATGAGGGAAAATTAATAAAAGAGGTCTTGGAGGGAGGTAAACTAACAAAGAGAAAAAAAAAAGCCAACTCAATGAATGGTAGGTGTTCGGGCAGCAGAGATGGAAGCCTTTACTAGGGCTGGAATGCCAGTGATGTCACTTTCCTATTGCAGGGGTTTTGTTAAATTTTTGTCCATTCAAATATCAAATTTCTTATATTATGTGAGTGTCCAGATGACAAAGAGGAGTTGTAGAACAAAGCCAGGGTACAGGAGGAAAAGGGAAAGAGGTGCATGAGTGTATGTATGAGAGTTTCTCTGTGTGTGTGTGTATGTGTGTGTGTGTGTGTAAGATACTGGTTGACAGAGGATGGGATCCTGCCAGCATGATTCCGTCCCCCACAGCTCTTCTTCTTGAAGGCCAGGTTACCTGTCCTGCTGTTCTGACCTGCTTCTCACTTTCCCAGCCTCCCCATCATCCATTACCACCTACGAGACCTGCCAGACCTATGAGCGTCCCATTGCCTTCACTGCTCGCTCCCGCAAACTCTGGATCAACTTCAAGACCAGTGAAGCCAACAGTGCTCGGGGCTTCCAGATCCCTTATGTGACCTATGATGGTGAGCACGGCCAGGAGAATCAGGGAGGGGGTGAGAAAGAAGCTCGTGGGTTATAGGAGGAGACCAGGGTCACTGGGAGAACTCCCAAGCTCAAGTCCTCCCTCTTGGCTGGATTTTGCAGAAGACTATGAACAGCTGGTAGAAGACATTGTACGAGATGGTCGGCTCTACGCCTCTGAAAACCATCAGGAGATTTTAAAGGCAAGTGAATGTTACAACAAGAGGAACAGTCAATATTAAATGAGCATGCATGTACCAGTATGTATGTACCAAGAAGCGTGCTAAATGCTTCCATGAGTATTCTTTTTTAATAAACCCAATAGTGCTAGGAGGTGGGCGTTTTCGTTAGTTGCAGTTCACAGATGAGAAAACAAGCATGCAGAGTTAAAGAACCTGCCTAATGGTAAAGCAAGAATTAGAACCCAAGTCCACCTGATTGCAGTAGAGACTGCCAATATCATTCACACTGTGTTACACTTTTGAAAGGCAGGAGAAGATGAGATGAAATGCCCCTTGTACCTTTCCAGACATACATAAAAAATGAAACAGAAAGATGCTTTTATATTAAGTCTCTTCCTTCCCATACTCCCTTTCCAGTCCCCACAAAGAAGCAGCAGATCTAACATAGCATTTCTCAGTATAAACTAACATTCTATAGAGGCCTCTTTTTTTATTTTATTATTTTTGTGTGCGTGTACCGTCAAATCAGATCTGACTGGTACAGGAGGAGATTGTCCCTCCTTCCCTGGCAAAGCATCTGGTGGATTCGAACCGTTCGCTTCTGGGATTGTAGTTGCAGCTCCTTGCCACTAGGCCACCAGAGCTCCCCTATAGAGGCCTCTTTTAAAGACAAAGAAATATTTCCCGTACTGGAAGATGGACTGCACACCCTGGATCTCTGTTTGAGAAATTTTACTTAAACTATAATCCTAGAATAGGAAAAAGGGGCATATGGGGAAACAGGGAAGAAGTTAGTATTAAGTACCATCAAGTCAGTTATGATTCATAGCAAACGAATAAAGGACAGATCTAAAGCTTGCTCTATCCTGCACTATTCTCACCATCGCTGACATGCTCCAGCCCACTGTTAAAGTCACAGGGTAAATCTGTCGTGTTGAGGAGGGTTTTCCTTTTCTCTGACCCTCTACTTTTCCCAGCATGATGAGGTTTTCCCCCAAGGACTGGCCACTTGTGACAACATGCCCAAGGTATATGAGACCAAGTTTCCTTGCATATAAGGAGCATCCTGGTTGCACCTCTTCTAAGACAAACTTGTTTGTTCTTTTGGCAGTCTGTGGGATATTCCATACTCTTCTCCAACACCACAATTCAAAGACACCGAAGATTCTTCTAATATCTTTATTCATTGTCCAAATTTCAGATGCATAGGAAACAATTGGAAATACCATGGCTTGGATCAGGCATATCTCTTTAAACTGACATCCTGGCACTTCAGCAATTTGGAAAGGTCCTTGACCTTTGGAAAAAGTGGATTTTTCCAATACAACATGTCTTTTGTTTTCTTGACTGCTGTTACCCTGGATGTTGATTATGGATCCAAGGAAAATGAAGTCAATTATAACTTCAGAGTTGTATCTGCTATTATGGTTGTTGCATATTGGTCCAGCAGTGAGAATGTTTTTTTCTAAATGTTGAAAGCTATAGTCTTTCATCTTCTGTAGTAAGTGCTTCAAGTCCTCTTCAGCAAACAAGGCTGTGGTATCTGTATAACATAGGTTGTTGATGAATCTAGCTCCAAACCTTATATCACATTCATCTTCATATAGTCCAGCTTCTTGAATTATTTGCTCAGTATATAGATTGAATAGGTATGGAGAAAGGACACAACCCTGATGCAAACCTTTCCTGATTTTAAACCATGAAGTGATCCCCTGTTGTGTTTGGATAAATACTTTTTGGTTTATGTATAGGTTTTGCTTGAGAACAATTAAGTGTTCTAGGATTCCCATTCTTCTCAATGTTAGCCATAATTTGTTATGATCCATAGTCAAATGCCTTTGCATAGTCAATAAAACACAAACATCTTTCTGATATTTTTTGCTTTCGGCCAAGAGTCATCTGACATGCCTTGGCCTCTTCTGAACCCAGTTTGAATTTCTGGAAGTTTTCTGTTTATGTACTGTGCCAACCACTTTTTAAATAATCATCAGCAAGATTTTATTTGTATGTGATATTAATGATACTGTTCAATAATTTCTGCAGTCTGTTGGACAATCTTTTTTCTTAGTGAGTGTAAACAAATATGGATCACTTCCAGTCAGTTGACCAGTCAGCAGTCTTCTAAATTTCTTAACATAGATTAGTGGGCATGTTTAGGGCTGCATCTGTTGGTTGGAGCATGTCAGTACATACTGCATCAATCCCTGGGGCCTTATTTTTTTTTGCCACTGCCTTCAATGACATTTCCTTCATTCCCACTGGTTCCTGATCATATGGCACCTCCTGAAATGAGTCAGTGTCAACCAGTTCTTTTTGGCACAGTGATTCTGTGTATTTCTTCTATCTTCTTTTTCTATTTTTGCATCATTCAAGATTTTGTCCATAACATTCCTCAGTATTGAAACTTTAGAATTGAATTTCTTTTTCAGTTCTTTGAGCTTGATGCTAAGGCTTGTTCCTCCCATTTGAATTTCTAACACCATCTCTTTTCATATTTTGTTGTAATACTTTGCTTTGTCTTCTCAAGCTACCCTTTAAAATTTTCTGTTTCTTTTACATCAGCATTTGTTTTCCTTCATTGTTTTAGCTTCTCTGTGTTCTAATGCAGTTTTCAGAGTCATCCATTTTGATCTTTTCTTCCTCCTGTCTTTGTAATGATCTTTTGCCTTCTTCCTGGATGATATCCTTTATGTCATCCCACAACTCATGTGGTCTTTGGTCATTAGTGTTCAGTGCATCAGATCTGTTTGGAGACGGTTTTCAAAGGCAAGTGGAACAGATTCAAGGTTCTACTGTTTTATAGTTTGCTTTTATGGATACAACACATATGTCAGCTTGTTGTACTGTGGAAGTGACTTGCTGTTGCTGCTTATTTTATATTTTGTGTATGTGTATGCTTGCTTATTTACAGTTTGCTCTTATGGATACAGCATTTGTCTGTCAGTTTGCTATAATGGGGGTGATTTGTGTGTTGCTGTGATGTCATGCCACTACTGTTTCAAATGCCAGCAGGGTCACCTGTGGTTGGCAGGTTTCAGTGAAAATCCAGACTAAGAAAGACCTAGAAGTAGAATTGACCATCCACTTCTGAAATAAGAGACCTTTGAAAACCCTATTAATAAGAGAAATTAAATTTGAAAGAAGAAGGGGGAAGAGTAAATGTAGAGATTGTAATCAGTGCCATAAAACATGGATGAAGTGTTGAATGAAAAACCAATTTTCTCTGCAAACTTTTGCTTAACTTACAAGATTTTTTAGAAAAGAAAGTATATTCCTAGTTGTAGATTTCATTCCTTATCACCACATAAAAAGTTTTCTTTATTGTAAGAGAATAATTTTAGTATCACAAAATGAAAACCATAATCACAGATAGCTTTTAAAACTTTCATACCTCAAAGAATATAATTTGAATGATGCTTTTTTTAAATATTTTTAGGCATCTGAACTCTAGTTTCAAGTAAAATGTACTGTGGAACTCTAATACATAAAGTAGATGGAAATGAACTTGCTCTGATTAGACTGGGAGAGGCTAAACACATTACCTTTGAGGCCAAGGAAGGGAGATCTGCATTCTAATTTGGGGCCTGACACATAGGAGGCTCTTTATATAGCATGCTGCCCTTTCAAACAGGAGGAACGGCCTGAGTAATATAAAGGGATTAGCCGTTAGAAGACCAGAGGGTAATCATTCCAAGCAAAGTGGCAAGAACAGTATAGATTAGCAGAATGGAGGGGGCCTGAAGAGGAATTAGTAGTAGGTATGGTAGCTAGAGAATTAGTAGACAGCATCTGGACAGGCTATGGAAGTGATGCAGGTTTTACTCTCAATGATTCAAGAAACAAGAGAAGTGTTTTTGGTATTTTCTTGTTTGTAATTTTTTATTATTCTAGTTTATTTACAAAGTTCATACATATTGTTTTTCACACTAGATCTTTCTCATTTACTTCAACCCCCCACACGCATCAAGTTGTGAGACCCCCATGATTAACACCCCACCTCTGCCCAGCCTCACCCCTCTGCTCACACCCTTCTGGATCCTTATACATGTTCTACAATAATGATCTTATAGAGTATTTGTCTTGATGGGACTGGGTTAGTTCACTTAGCATAATGCTCTCTAGTCCCTCCAAAGTTAGATAGTAGTTTACAAAATCATTGCTCGTGTGCTGCATAGTGTGAATGGACCATAATTTCTTAATCCATTCAATGGTAGTTGGACATTTGGGCTGTTTGTATGTTCTTGCTATGGTGAATAACGCTGCTATGAACATTGGTGTACTAATCTCCATTTGTGCTTCCATTCTCATTCTCTTGGGGAATATTCCAAGCAGTAGAATAGCTGGGTCATATGGAATTTCTATGTTCAGCTTTTTTAAAAAAAATTTTATTTTATTATTTTTTGTGTGAGTGTACCGTCAAATCAGATTTGACTGGTACAGGAGGAGATTGTCCCTCCTTCCCCGGCAGAGCATCTGGTGGATTCGAACCGTTCGCTTCTGGGATTGTAGACGCAGCTCCTTGCCACTAGGCCACCAGAGCTCCCCTTATGTTCAGCTTTTTGAGAAAGCACCAAGGGCAGGATCTGATTTAAACACTCACTCCAGCTGCTGTTAAGGAAAATAGTCAGGAGTCTATTGTAACAGTCCATAAAGAGAAATGACAGTGACTGGGCCAGAGTGATAGGTAGAGAAACAGTGAAAAGTCATCAGAACCTGGATATGTTTTAAAGGTAAAGCTGATGGGATTTTTGTAGCTGTGATCAAAAGAGAAAATAGTCAAGGATGACTCCAAGTACCAGGGCTGAGCCATGGAAGCAGTGACTGAGCTGTCTGATTCTAAAGGATTAGGTGGTAAGAATTGGAATCCAGAGTTCACCTCTAGATAAGTGTATTTTGAGATAGCAGGAGTGACATCCACTTCCTAAACAGCATGCCTCAGGGAAACTGTGAAATTTGATAAATGGCGATGGTTGTGGAAGGGCTTCAGGCCTTTTGTTCATGGAGTCACTAAGAGTTGTGCTCAATTTTATGGCAATCAACAACAACAACAATTAGACATTAGGGGATGTCTTCCTACCTACTATAAGAAGCTACATTGTAATCCCAAAGGCGTACAGTTCTAATTCACCAGGTGCTCCGAAGAAGGATGGGCAATCTCCTCCGTGCAGTTTACTGCCTCTGAAAACCCACTAGAGGGTAAGCTATGAGTCAGTTCTGACAATAGCAAACAACAACATATTAGACATTAACAGAGGATTTAGAGTTGAGGCTGGTATTTCTCTTTCCCAAACCCCAACATTGAGGCCAACTTTGTCACTTCCATTTTCTACAGGACAAGAAGCTTATCAAGGCCTTCTTTGAGGTGCTAGCCCACCCCCAGAACTACTTCAAGTACACAGAGAAGCACAAGGAGATGCTACCAAAATCCTTCATCAAGCTGCTCCGCTCCAAAGTTTCCAGCTTCCTGAGGCCCTACAAATAGTTTCCCTCAACCCAGAGACCCCAGTTTTGAAGTTCCCAGACTCCTTAGCCCTCAGAGCTGGCAGCCCCCACCTACAGACAAGGAACTTCCTCTTCTCTTTTTAGAGGGAAAACAAAAATCACTATACAGACCAGGCACACTCCCTTTCTATTCTAGTTTTTTCTCCTTTTCTCTCTGCCTTTCTATCTCTGTCTCCCATATTCTCTTTCCTACATGCTCCCTGGAAAAGCCATTCAGTGCTGGCTTTATTTCCACTTAAGGGTGAATAACAGTGCCCTCCTCTCCAATCAAAAGCTCACATCTCCAGATCCATCAGCTTGGGAGGGTGTGGGAGGTTCTTGAAGGAAATGGGTCTAGTAGGGAACAGGGAGGGGAACTTGGGGACTTCTGCCATTATAGGGTTGTGCCTTGATAGTCGGGAGCCAAACATTCCCTGACAATGTCCCCCAGGGTCATTTTACCAGCCTAGGTCCTGCCAAAGAAGCCTTTGATCTACAAACTTAATGCCAGCACCTCTGGGGCTCATGGCTGGAGTCCTGGAACCCACACAATTGGTTGGCCTTCTTGTCTGTACAGCATATCTCCTCCTCCCTCATATGTCTGCCTGGGGTCTATTCCATAAGGGCTTACAGATACACCTCTGGGCTAGCGGACATCAGGTGAATGGAAAAAAGCAATAGACATATTGGTGAATGTGCCACAGTGGCTCTCCAAGAGAAAGACTGTAACTCTGCAGGACAGATACCAGGTTTTAAAGCATCACCAAAAAAAAAAAGGAAAATGTATCCCATAGTACTAGACTACAGAACGATTGGAAGCCAACCTCAAACAGTAATCCCTTTTCCTGCTGTCTTCCCTGGCCCAGCCACCCCCTCACCCTCACCCAAGTGCTCCCTGGGGGAGCCCAACTCCCCTTGCAAAGTGCTGTCCTTAAAGAAACATGGCTGCTGACCAGCTTGGGCCTTGTCCCACAGTTGTCTTTCCCTTGTAACCCCAGGTGGCTTGTGGGCTCCACCAAAGAGGACCCAGCTCTGCAGCCAGCGCGGAGCCACCTACCTCTGGCCCCAGGCCATGGGCAGCAAGAGGAATAAGTGTGCACTTGGCAAGCCTTCTGCCCACCTTGTCCACATCTAATAAGTGCAATCATTTTGAGTCTTTCTATGTTGTCTAGATGGAGGGGTTTTTGTTTTCTGAGTTTTTGTTTCTGTTTTGTTTTCTTTCCTCTATTAGAAAACCCTATTTATAGCTGCCCAAGAGAGAAAAGTGTGTGTTTAGAGTGGAAGAAAGTTTTTAATTTCATGAACCTTAAGTGCTGAAGCATCTAATCTGTCTCTTACTCCTCCACCAGTGACCACCCAGACTTCTAGGGCCTCAGCTGGGGTCACTCAGGGCTGGGGACTTGATGACACCAATCCTGCCATCCCTGTGCCTCTCCACGGATTCAACATGGACCTCGTGATTGTGGAGGCCATTGGAACTGGTCAGTAAATCTCCACTCCAAGTAGGGAAAATGTCCATCTTCTCCCCGCTTCATCTTGTTTTCTCCTCGTGTGCATATATCCAGCCTACAAAGAAGAGCAGTAGAAACCACCTAAGATGGCATGTCTTGGGGCCCTGAAGCCAGAGACAAGGCTGTGGGGAGCAACCTGGAGACAGTTACCCAGGCATGAAGTTGATGAAGACACTAGATGTTTGCCTGATTTGGGCTACTATGCCTACACTTCCCTGTCTGCCATTCCCTCTCAGAATTTACTTCAAGCCTAGCTTTCTTAACTACTGCTTTTCAAAAAAAGAAGAACCACATCCAATCTCTGATGCTGCACACACCCTTCCCTCAATCCAGCTGCCACCTGGAAGGTTACTTACATCTGCTTCTTCCTGATACCCAGAGCTGTAGTCCTACTCAAATCAAAAGCTTGATTCTTAGGGTTCATTTCTAGGAGACCATCTCAGGCTACTGTTCCCCAAGAGACTCCGCACAAAATCAAGAAGCCTGGCCCCCTCATACCCCCCAAACACCAGTCAGAAGCTTTAGCAGTGGGTAACCAGCATTACAGCTCAATGCTCTCATATCCCTTAGCCAACACTGACCCCTGGGGGGTGGGGGGGGCACCTGGCTCTCTTTGTCTGTTGGTCAGAGGGTAGCTATAAAGATGCAAAATGGTTACTTCCAAATGAGGGAAATGGTCATTTTGCCATAGTACCTGCACTTCCCAAAAAGCACCATGGAAACACCTTTAATCATCTTCTCTAATAGGCATTGGGATTTCTGGTTCCTCTCCCTGCTATTTCACACCTCTCTTGGAAGGCCAGACACGGTGCATCCCAATTTATAACTTCAAGGTCTGTCTTACTTGCCTTCCTTTCATGTCACTCCACACATCTACATAAAAATACTTTAACCATTTGTTTCATAGTTTCTGCAAACTATTTCCGTAGTACCACAAGGGGTTCTCAAGACAGATCCTGGTAAACAGGTAAAGATATGATGCTGTCCACCACGTTTAATTTAGATCTCCAAGAAAAATGGGGGGAAAAGTTTCTGCTGAACCCACTGGAGGATAGCCTTTCTGCATCCAGCTAGGGGCTAAGTGGACTAGAAATGAGGAATCAATACTCAGGGAGTCTCTAGGCCTTTAAAATCCAGCTAGGTGGTATTTTATCAATATAGGAAATATGGGAAGATCGTGAAAATGGCAAGCCTTCATGAACCAAACTTTACAGGGCGGGGCACTCACAGGCCACAGTTCTGTGGGGCCTCATTCATTTTAGTGAAAATCTGCCCCAAGTTGAGTCAAAATGGGAAGCCATTATCCCAAGAGTTCCAAGCTTCAGATGACACAACCTGCCAATCCCACTTTACTTCTCTGCCTTCTCCTTCCTGCATTATCAGTCCAAACTTATTCCCTAAACCCAAGGGAATGGAGTTTGGCTAAAAATAACAGAAACTTGGACTTGAGCTGCCCACCCCAATCTAGAAATCCCAGAATGCTAACACTGAGGTGTGCCTGCTGTGACTTCCCCAAGAGATGATCATATGAGGTGGTGACTCAGATTTGTTGCCAAGAGTTGAGGAATAAAGTCTTGGCCTTTGGCCCTCTTGAAACCATCTGCATCTGAGAAGTGCTCTCCATGTTTGGGGGAGTAAATAAGTACATGTCTCAAAATGTCAGCAATATAAAGCATTCAATTTTTTATATTTGCTGCTTTACCTCAATATATCAGCCTAACTAGGAAGAATGGAGACAAAATGTTACTGACTATAGCAGAAAATGTTAACTTGCCTAGTTTCCTTCTTAAGCACAGTAAGAAAAAAGTGAAAGCAAACAATACAAGGATATCTTTAGTTTTGACATGTCTGAAAGATCATACACCCTTGTGATTGGGTCATTATATCTGGATGAGGAATCCTTTAAGAAAATGCATAATTAGAGGAATTAGAACTCCCAGTACTTATTGGCTTACTAGACAACAGATTGTAGCAGTTTGGACAAACTAAAAATTTTATTCTGTGTGTTCTGAATTGAAATTTCAGAGAATAATGATAACCATATGGCAAGATTTTTTAATGCAGAAGAAATCTCAAAATACTGCATTTTATGTCTGCCTTCCAGTGCCGCCAATAGAGTAAACATCTACACAATCAACAATAAAGAGCAAATGTTGCCATTCATAGAATATTTTGCACTTGGGGAAAAATATGTATCTGAACTTGTAAAAAGAAATGTTTGGATTTTGTATGTCTTTTTATTATTATTATTAAAATACTAAATGGAACTCCTCAGTCTGGCATATTTTCTTCTGTCTCAGTAACTCCGCCTCGAGCTGAAAAAAGTCTTGAGTAGAGTGCCTTCTTGGTTGGGTTTATCAGAGTTGTGCCATGATCCATCTATTTCCTAGTAATTTTAGAATTAGGCTTGGTCCTTTGTGTATCTTTAAAGAAGTATCAAGAATTATCCCCTGGAAGTAGGGGTGGGGGAACTTAGATAACAGTTCCTCACCATAATGTAATGCCCCAAAGCTAGCAGGTCACAGATGGCTGGGATACCTCCCTAATTAAGATGGCCCACTCTAGCAAAGTACAAGCAATGAGGGACACCAAAGGTAGTGTGTGTGTGTGTGTGTGTGTGTGTGTGTGTGTGTGTGTGTGAATGCAATACAGTGTTGGCAACCAAATGGCAGAATTCTAATCTATAAATTATTCAGCCACTACTGCCATCACCCTTGTGTAGAGGGCTGACTTTCAATAGATCGCAGCGAGGGAGCTGCTCTGCTACGTACAAAACCCCGACCCAGAAGCAGGTCGTCTATGAATGGTTTAGCACCAGGCTCCCCACGAACGTGCGGTGCGTGACGGGCGAGGGGGCAGCCACCTTTCCGGCCGCTCCCCGTGTTCCCGGGACAGAGGGCGCTCCGCACCGTACTGACTCTGAGAAGAATGGGAATCCCAGAACACTTGATGGTTCTAATGCGAAACTTATACTTGGACCAGGAGGCAGTCATCAGAACAGAGCAAGGGAACACTGCATGGTTCAAAATTGGGAAGGGCGTATGCCAGGGATGCATCCTATCTCCATACCTTTTCAACCTATATGCAGAACAGATTATCCGGGAGGCTGGGCTCTATGAGGAGAAATGTGGGGTCAAGATTGGTGGACGATTTATCAGCAATCTGCGTTATGTGGATGACACAACCCTGCTTGCTGAAACTGAAGAGGACCTGAAGCGCCTGCTGCAGAGTGTCAAGGACTGCATTGAGGCTCAATGTCAAGAAGGCAAAGATTCTCACCACTGGACCAACTGGCAGCATCAGGATGGATGGTGAAGAGATTGAGATTGTACACAGCTTTAGTTTGCTTGGCTCCACAGTCAACAGTCTTGGCACCAGCAGCCAGGAAATTAAAAGGCGCATTGCCATGGGAAAGTCTGCTGTTAGGGACCTCTCCAAGGTACTGAAGAGCAATGGTGTCTCTCTGGAGACTAAGGTGCGTCTGATACAGGCCATAGTCTTCGCAATCACTTGATATGCATCAGAGAGTTGGACAATGATCAAGGAGGATAGAAGGAGAATTGATGCCTTTGAGCTGTGGTGCTGGAGAAGCATATTGAGGATACCATGGACTGCTAGGAAAACAAACAGATTTGTCCTGGAAAGGGTTAAACCGGGTGGCTCCTTGGGGGCAAGGATTCTGAGGCTCCGTCTAACATACTTTGGACATGTAGTGAGGAGAGACCGGTCCTTGGAGAGGGACATCATGCTTGGGAGGGTGGAGGGACGGCGCAGGAGAGGAAGGCCCTCTATGAGGTGGATTGATTCAGTGACTGGGATAATTGGGATGGGAGTGTCAGAGACAGTGCGATTGGCACAGGACAGAGCAGAGTTTAGGGCTGTTGTACATAGGGTCGCTATGAGTCGCAAGCAACTCGACGGCACATAACAACAAACAATAACTGCCATCACTATTCCTACAGGGAACAGGAAATGATCCCCAATAAATGAATAATCTCATTTTTTAAGCTCAGAGATAAAAGATAACACTCAACTATTACAAAATTATTTTCTGTTAAATCTGATTTTATTTAATATCCACATGATACAGCAGTTAAGAGACAATGGAAATCTGCTGTCAGGGACCTCTCCAGAGTGCTGAGAAGCAACAGTGTCAGTCTGGAGACTAAGATGCGCCTAATACAAGCCATGGTCTTTGCAGTTGCTTGTTATGCTTTAGAGAGCTAGACACAATGACCATGGATGACAGA